TTTATTTATTGTATTTACACATAGATGGCTCTACAAATGCTTAGTCACCAAGGAGTCGGTTGTTAGCCCTACGTATCTCACCTATTTACCCTTTTCCTCGACTTTGGTAAAGAGTCTTTTGCATTATTTCATTATCTTAAATGTTATTGAAATTTTAATAATAATTCAATAGCTATAACATCAATATCAGTATCGATATCAACTGTATCAGAAAGAAAAACTAATTTTCCCGCCAATTCAAGGAATGTGGAAATCAGGATTGGTCACTAGGGCTACTGATAGACTCCTTGCCAGCTGAGCACATTTACAAAACAAAAAATACAGGGGGTAGAACATAAATCCGAGGCGGTTGGGTTAAAAAAAAATATATGTTAATATACACATGGATATATGCATATATGTATGCATGTAGAAACACACACACACACACACACACACACACACATATATATATATATATATATATATATATATATATTTATATATATATATATATATATATATATATTTATATACATATATATATATATATATATATATATATATATATATATTTATATACATATATATATATATATATATATATATATATACACACACAAACACATACACATATATATATCATTGATGATAACTGATTCGGATTTACGTCACGAACTCCCTCGCAAGGACGCAGCATTCTCTCGAAGGACCCTGGTCTGCGGCCGTTGCTCTGAGCGCGTGCCCTTTTTACTCCCAGACCTCTGGTGCCAGAATCGAACACGCAGCTGGGTGACCGACCCTCATGGTCCCCAGCCGCGCGCGTTACTGCCGCCATGTGTATGTGTGTGTGTGTTTACACATATACACATACATACATACATATATATATTTATGTGTGTGTGTGTGTAATTGTGGCAATTTGTATATTCAGAATAAAACGTACCAGGGTATTTAGTGCGTGAGTTGGTGTGTGTGTGTGTGTGTGTGTGTGTGTGTGTGTGTGTGTGTGTGTGTGTGTGTGTGTGTGTGTGTGTGTGTGTGTGTGTGTGTGTGTGTGTGTGCGCACTTGACCTTATATACAATACGATGTGTGAAAGTCCGTAAGTGTTTATCTCACCGTGTTAAATCAAGTGCGAAATTTTGGCTTCATACTTACGATTTCTATGATCTTCATGATGCCCGACTTGGTTTTCAGGTAACCCGTATTGATCACGACAAACCCCATGATTGCTGCTTAACTGAAATGTAATAGTTCTTTTAATACAGCCATGTTAGTAACACGAAACGTACGTTATATAAAGCAGATATTTTATCTTAATATTCACTACTACTCATATATTCAACATTTCACGTTCATCCAGTTTTAGAAACGCCTGTGATGCGTTCTCTCATTAACACGTGGCAAAAAGGGTTCCATTTTGGTGAACTCTGCCGAAAGGTGATCCGGACCGTCGGTCTTTAATTAGCCATGGAAAGGGACTGGGGGTGGGGCCGTTACTCCTTGATATCTGTTCTTATTTTTTATAATTATCATTACTATTATTACTATTGTCATCTTTGTTATTCTATCTCTCTATTATTGTTATTATCAACATGATCATCACCATCACCATTGCTGTTATCATTATTATTATTGTCATTATTATCAATTACATTATCCTTTTTTGTTATCACTGTTTCTTTTTTTTCCTGCAATGATAATCCATAATAATACCGTTATTAATGATACAGTTATTAATAAGAAATGCATTTTGATAGAAAATATTTATTGGAGGAAAATAAATAGTAGTTACCATGAAACGTAGTAGTAAATGCTAAAAAGTTAACTATAAAAAGGTGTACATATATCACTGAAAAAATAGACAATCATTATAGGAAGTACAGCTATTGCAGAATATACAAAAAAAATCACTATAAGAGTTTTTAGTCAGACGAGTGTTGTTTGGGGAGTGTCGGCGGAAAAGCAGGTGTTCTCGATCAACAAGGTTACGTATAGCCTCAAAATGCATCGTTACCAACTGTACGTTCTCGTTCGGTAAATGTTCCTTAACTGCCCTTTTTCATCTCTTCCTTTCTTTTATAGTCTGTACATATTTAATGTATGTCATTTCAAGTATCTCTTGGAATCAATTGTTTGTAGCCTCGTTTTACACGTACAAATACATATGTAAATAGACTACACGCATAAAGGTATTGTGACTTTCCAACAAGTTGAATCTGGCACAAGCTTATTTCCTATTCAGGTTGACAGTTCACGATTTTCCTGCACTCCATGGTGCGACTTTCTTTAGTCATTTTGAAGTATACTGTACTATATCAATTGATGATTATCCCCCTAAAATATATTAACCCTCCCTTATATCGTTTTATCCCTCTTTGAAAAAAAAAAATCCTAGATGTCAACTCAACGCAAAGGCGGAAAACGAGGACGACCAAATCTCTCCTTTTATCTCTTCGCTGCCAGGTCGTGTGGCCTGAAAGTGCACTTGTGTCTGGTAACTAAACATCTGTGACGCGCAGCTGTGTGGGGCGTCTGGCATTTTAACACGAAATGTAGCAGCACAATCGCCGGAGGAGCTATGGCTATGGGTCGTGGAGCTAAATTTAAGGAACATCCACCCACACACACACGCGAGCGTACATACTCATCCAGCCACACACGTACACACACACGCGCACGAACACACCATACACACACGTGTTTGTTAGTCTCAGAGAGAATCGCGTCATATCTCATGGAAACGAGAATTAAACAATTGAGTAAATAGGAAATCGAGGTGTGATGCATGTAGGCCAGTGAAGTTTCTAATCTCTCTGGAAAACGTATTTACAAAACAAGTAGCCTTGTGAATAATAAAAATGAGATGAAATAGAATCACGGGTTATGGACGAATGGTGTATTAAACATCTGAAACTGTGTTTGAAAGAGAAAATGCGGGATTGGGAAGCTGGGGTGTATGTGGGTGTGGCAGGGACGCGTAACGTGGTGCAAACGTTCACTTATTTTTTTCTAAATATAGACACGTAAAAAAAAAAAAAAAAAAAAATCATCATCCTTGTAGTAGGAAATGAACGATACATGAAATTCCTCATGTGACAATGTACATGAAATTCATACTTGCAAAGAAGCGCTTTCCATACGCGTGGCAATCCAGAATTATACAAAGTTCAGGCTCAGTTTCCACAAACATCGAAATATTCACACACATTCCTAACGTCACATGTACACCACACGGCAGTCGAACGTAAGAATAGATTAGTACTTCTACGTTACATATTCATATACCTCTACACCTATCACGATCAATTTCAAGTGTATATACACCCACAGCACTTTTCGATGTCAACCTCACGACGCACTCTTCGCACGGACACTAAAATTACCGGAAATATTTCACTAACTGGGAACTCGACTCCAGGATACACGAATATTAACAACCAGAGGAAGAAATGTGGGTGTAGGTGATTTTAAGATTGATAGCTAACATTAAACCCACATGTAGATGCTTAATATATCTACAATAGACGCTCGATGTAAGTGAAGAGTTATAATTTCCAAAATTGTGTTTACTATAAGAGGTGGCAGCGCGAAGTGTACGAACGTTGCCATCGTTGACGAGAGAATTTTGATATTTTATTGGGATTAATCTTCGGAATAAATTTTTTGTGTACACAATTATATCTAAAATAAGAGAATGTCCATGAGATCTAAGAATACAAACATATAATATTCAGAAATTTTGACAAGTTTACCCTTCCAATATCCGTTTTCTTTTACAAAGGGAAACGGCCTACGCGCCTCTACTGGCTATAGGTCGAGGAGCTAAATTTAGGGATGGAAAACACACACACACACACACACACATATATATATATACATATATTTCTGCGTGTGTGTCTGTGTGTGTGTATGTGTGTGTGTGTGTGTGTGTGTGTGTGTGTGTGTGTGTGTGTGTGTGTGTGTGTGTGTGTGTGTGTGTGTGTGTGTGTGTGTGTGTGTGTGTGTGTGTGTGTGTGTGTGTGTGTGTGTGTGTGTGTGCGATGTGTGTGTGTGTGTGTGTGTGTGTGTGTGTGTGTGTGTGTGTGTGTGTGTGTGTGTGTGCGCGTATGCGTGTGTGTGTTTCTGTGTGTGTGTATGTGTGTGTGTGTGCGCGTATGTGTGTGTGTGTGTGTGTGTGCGTGTTTGTGTGTGTATGTGTGTGTGTGTGTGCGTATGTGTGTGTGTATGTTTCTATATACATATACATCTATAAATATATATGTATATATACATACAATGCTGCTATTGTTGTTTTTGTTGTTGTTGTTGTTTTTGTTGTTGTTGAATCACATATATTCATGAGAAGAGATTCAATGAAGTGGCATGACGTCATCAGGCGCTCCATGTAAATAAAGCAGATTTACTCTTTGTGTTTCTCTCTAAGCTTCTAAGCCGTAACCAGCAGAGCGGAAGCGAGCGGAAGCCTCCATAGGATCTAATTCAAAAAGAATTCCAGAAAAGACAAGAGCAAGTGGAAATTCTGTGATTTTTTTTTTACTGATAGAAACGGTTTTATCTATTTACTTTTTAATCTAAATTTCGTCCTTCCATTTTATCATTTTATTACAATAAATTTCAGTTGAAAGAGTTTTTTTTTCTATACAATCTTTCTCTTTCACGCTTTGTGTTTGTTTCTTATTATACCAATTCTGTGTTCGAGAAAAGAAAATCCTCCACAAAGCAAAAAATTCCGGGAATCTTCCTTTGGCACTCGAAGGCGAGAGAGCCATTCGTGGAGGTTCCAGGAACAGGATAATGGCATCGGTGGCGGCAGGAGGGGGGAGGGAGGGGCGAGGGCAAAGGTGAAGAAGGTCAATGAAAAGAAAAGTAGCCAGAGAGAGCGAGGAAAGCGAGGAAGGAGAGACAGAAGAGAAAGGAAAAACAAACATTTATTTTTCATTCCCTCGCCAATTTTCGGTGGTCGCTTTTTAGGGTTCTTGTGATTTCGTGCTTGTGTGCGAGGTAGTCTCTCTGGTTTCTGTGAATGGTTGCTTGTCTGTCTGTCTCTCTCTCTCTCTCTCTCTTTGCCTGTGTCTGTCTGCTTCTCTCTCTCTTATTCTCTCCCTCCCTCCCTCCCTCCCTCCTCCCTTCGCTCCTTTCCTCTTTCCCTCCCCACTCCCTCCTTTCCTCCTTCCCTCCTCCCTCCCTCATTTCCTCCCTTCCTCCTTCCCCCCTCCTTCCTTCCCTCCCTTCCCTCTTCACAGCAGATAAGTCACAACAATTCACCCTGCTGAACTATTCAATAATTCCACTTAAAGACCATCCCCACTCGCTCTGTAATAACTTCCCTTCGCTTCGAAATCAATTTACTTTCCATCTCTGTCTTGAGGCCACAGTATCCCTCACAGACGACCTCTCTGTGGAGAAATATTTGTACATCTCCTTTTATTTCTTTAAGTATTTCTAGGATCGAAATTGCTCTGCCTCCTCATTATTATTTTTATTATTACCCAATATTGTTATTACTATTATTATTATCATTATCATTATTACTGTTATTGTGATCATTATAATAATTGTTATCATTATCATTATTACCAATGTTATTATTATTATTATTATTATTATTATCATTATTATTTTTATCGTTGTTGTTGTTATCATTATCATTGTTCTTTATTATTGTTGTTAATATAATGATTACTATTGCTATTATCATTATTACTATTGTTATTGTCATTATTGTTTTTATTATCACAGTTCTTAATATTATCGTTATTATTATTATCATTATTATTGTTATTATCATATTCGAGTTCAAAAAGTGAGGTTAATGACACAGCAAATTCTACAAAACAAAGGTTTATCAATGACTTAGAGAGATTATAATCTGGAGTGAATGATAAACCAATGACTAAAACTACATTTATGTACATCTATACATAAATAAATGTATAAATCTATGCACTGTGTGCGAGTTTGCGTATGTGAATTGGTACACATAAATATATGTTCATATAAATATGTGTATGGACATATGTCTGTATATCTGTCTCTCTGCTTGTATGTAAGTATAAGTATATGTGTACTTGTATGTATATGAATACGTATATGTATATACGTATGTGTAAATGTGTGTTCATTTATAATTTTTAAATAAATATGAAAACAATCTATAAAAATATAGCTTGACAGACAGATGTGAATCTAAATGCATAAATCCTTGACTTAAAACGATCAGGTGCTCTGAAGTTGTTGCTCCAGAATCTCGATGATATCCGGAGCCCCAGATATCATCGGACTCTCAAAATCGCCTCCGATTCCTCAGTACAAGGACCTCGCGCGACTGCACCTCGTCCTGCTCTTGGAAAAAGTCCACGTCAGCTTTGCACATTTCCCTGAACACTTTGATCATCCACCTGAGCAGGTCCTGCTCGCGCCACTCGAGTCCCTCCCTTCGCTTCCGCTCCAGGACACTCAGAAAGGCGTTCTTGAGCGCGAATCCTGCCGGAATGGGAATCTTCCACTGGCGGGAATCCCACCAGGTGTACAGCGACTTCACATCTCGGGGCATCCACACCTCGGCCTTCAAGCAGGGACAGCAGCGTCTTGCAGGACAGGAAGACCCGTCGCTCCTCGGGCGAGAGCTGGCTGATCACTGCAACTTCGGCTCCTGCAAAGCTGCAGCGCCAAGTTCCATCTGCCTTGTTGCTGAGGTGGACCTCCTGAATGTCCGGAGGCGTCAGCGCTGGCCTCAGCACGTCCTTGGGCCAAGGAAGAGGGAGCACTGGCACCAGGTCGACTGCTCTCCTGCCACGCGAAAGACAGGGACACGCCCACCTGGGTCCTTGTCACCCCAGGGGGTACAACACTCAGTCGCTTGTCATGCAGGGTGTGGCATTCCAGGTAGCTTGTAACGAGGCTGTAGAAGTTTTCAATAAGTGTGTTGCCCTGAAAAATTGGTGCATCTGTCTTGACCTCGATTCTGAGCCTGTGTCCACAGTCTTAAATCTCCCGCTCGCTCTGTTCCACAACCGTGACCTCAACATCCGGGATATTGGAAAGAACGATGCTAATATCACATTCATCCGGTGCATATAAGCGAGTGCCATCGGATGAACTCCCCACGAGAGTCAGGGTACCCTCATAAGTCTTGTCTTGTAATGCTACTCCATTGGCAATAATCTGGCATTCCTTTTGGACTGCTGTGCTCACTTCCCTTGCCTCACCCTTACTGAAGTCAACACTGAAGTCACTACAGTCGTCTATGATGTCACTCAAGCCCACCTGTCTGAGCAACGTCACTGTTGCTTCTGCTGGATCGGTTCTTTCTGGGACATTTGTGTTATCTTCGATCGCAGTCTCCTCCTTCCGGTACAACTTGAGATACTTATCCACATTTTCTTTGATTTCTGAAGGCACAGTACCTGCTACGCTCACTGGTTCCTCATCTTGGACCATTGCCACCAGGAGCTGGTAGGTCGAGTCATGGCAGTTCATGGCAGCATAATGCAAGGCCGTGTGCCCGTACTTGTCCTGTTGCAAAGGATCGGCATTAAGATCCAGGAGGAGAGCCACGCAGCCGGAGATGCCATGGGCCGCGGCCAGGTGAAGCGCGGTGGTGTCGTTAGTGTAGTCGACCACTGTGTCTGGATGTATCCCACACACTTTCACAATCATGTACATGAGCAGCAGAAGTCCCCTCTTCGCTGCTACTGACAGTGATGCACAGACAATCGAGGAGAGATAAGATGGAATCTCAGAGCTGTTGCTGCCGTCTGAGTTTCGATAGAGGGAGAAGAGGTCGTCTGATAGTTGGATTATAAGTTTTACATCTTTTTCGCTCTTTCAGTTTTTCATACATATAATCTAATTTCCTCTTCTCCTTTGCATGCAAAGCCTGTATGGGAGAAAAAAATCATTTTTATGATTATATTTACATATATTGTGTAATGAAATAGTACTGTTATGTCAAAATGATTTGCATTCTATCATCAGAATATTATACATAAGGTACAAAATAGTCTATTAAAAAAATACACATATAAGTACCAGAAACACTAACCTCTTCTATTTCCTCTCGTAAGTAATTGGGCATGATGTCCCTTGGCAGAATACCTGATGCGTCAGATATGTAAAGGCTTGCGCTCATGTCTTTAACCATGACAGATGCAAGACTCCAGTGTTTGAAATGGAGCGCCACATGGAGGGACGTGTAGCCACCCTCACTCAGCAGGAAGCTCTGAGCCCCTGCCTGTTGCAGAAAGAACACTGTGAAGGGTGCAAT